GGCTAGCGCAGATAGCCCTCGTGCAGCTTTGCGCGAAATTCACAACAAACTTTGTTAGCAGTGGTTGTTCGCTTTCTATATGTTAACGATACCATTACATCCTCTTGATATAGGAGAAATACATTTCTGAAATATCATGAAATAGATGAACAGTAACAGAAAAAAAGTATTGTTTAATATTACGTGACACTGAGAACCTAATATATCAAGCTGCTTGACGTTATTATAGGCCGTTGTTACAAGGAAAGTTACACATTTGAATCTTATATATATATATTGCGAACGGTGGTGTCTGTCTGAGCGTTCGTCTGTCTCCAGTTTGAAAAGTTGCGCACGCAGGCAAAGCTCAACATTCATATTTGAAATGACAGAACAAGTATGAATAATGTTGATGCCAAATTTTATTTCGCAAGCAGGATATTCTACAGTAAGTTGTTAAGAATTAATCACGCTATCATTTACATTTCAAAATATGACCTAAATTAAACAACAAAAATGTAGATTTACCGTATGTTATTGTTGAGCGGCTTTTAGCATGGCTGAAATGCTCAACAATTACTTTTTGCGGTGGGTGGTATAAGTAGTTCATAGCTTTGGCTTTGAGTGAAACCATGTGTGCAACACAATTGACTTTTATAAACTCTATGAAATAACTTAACTTGATAGATTAACTTAAAGTTTTCCCGTCACTGGGGACGGGTACTTTTGCTAGACTTACTTAAACTTTTCCCGTCACAGGAGACAGGTACTTTTGCTTGTCATATATATATATATATTGCAAACCGTGGTATAAATAATAGTTTTCCTAACATAAAAATAAAATATTAAGAACATCTCAATGCGAATAAAATGCCACCTAGCATCATCTTTTGATTGTATATAACAGGTTTGTTCAATATCGATTTTAAAATAACGGTTTTTTGTTGTTGTTGTTTAATTTTATCTGTTATAATAATACTCACTTTGTGTCTGTCCTGAAAATGCGCGCGCACTTCATTTCAACGGATCTAAACAAAAGGCAGATGTAAATACACTTTAGTAGATATTTTTTACAACAACACATTAAAAGCTTATTCACGTTTTTAAAATGGTCTTATGTTAGGTCAAAGAATAACATTATAAGTTTATTTATTGATAGTATTAAGTCTGGTAAAGTTTATCCCTAACTAAATTAAAGCACAAAAGGGGTAATGTATGCAAGTTACAGTGTTAACTTATATCTTTATCGAATATACGCCGTACTTAATAAAGGCATAACTAATGTTAGGCGTAAGACAAGGGGACTTATAGATTTCGGTGTCTGTGATTATAGTTCTTTTGTATTATTCTAAAGATCCTGTATTTAAAGAGGTACTGTTACAATAAAGATACTAATTTGACCGCAAATGTTTTGTGGGTCTCTGCTAGTTTGATAATGAATACAAAATTCAATGCATGTTGAAACCAGTGACGTTGTTACCTTTCAAACTTAGGATCACGACTGTCGGAGCCAAAAGTGCTAAACAAGAGACAAGAGCTTATTAGAGGTTATACATACTCTATATGTCACTTATTTTGGAAAATAAATAAAAATCAGCATCTAAGAATCAACCTATTTATATAGAGTGTAATTATAAACTTTCGCAGTTCAGTGCACCATGGAGTAGGAAGGTGAAATTGCTCAAACATTTTAAGGAAACCACGGAAATTTAAATATTACAGTTTTGAAATGCTGCCATTAGGGATGCCTTATAGCTTTTTTCCCATAATTTAATGGGTATAAGTCACCACTCCCCTCACAGTGGCTCAGCGGTAAGTCTGTAGTCTTACGAAGCTAAAAAATGGGCTTAGATACTCGCGGTGGGCAGTGCATTCAGCCAATGTGTAACTGAAAAGTGTGCACAGAGGTGAACTGGTGAAATATTCTTACATTAAAGGATACAATGCCAAGGCAGTTGTAACCTCTTGAACCTTCCTCGGTTCTGTGAGTCATTATTTGATGATCAGATTGAAATATAATCACTCTTTTACCTTTCTTCCAGAACTATCTTTTATGTCTCGATAGTCTACATAGTGGGAAACATCACCCTATCTCTAGCATCTATACCCAGCTTCCTTCCAATGACGTAAGTTGTTTATCTAGGTACAGACGATTAGATAGCAGTTCTAACACAAATGCTCATTGGAGTTGGTTTGTAGACTATTAGGTCCATAATTCTTCCAATTATTACAGCTGGTCCTCGGTGGCAGGGATCGAACTTAAAAAGAATTCATTACTGTTACGATGAGATGCGAC